AGTGCATAATAAAATGAAATTCCGTTGCAATTGGCTTACAATCATACACTAAAATACAATTATAAAATATACATTCTATACATTTGATATTTAAACATTTAGACATCTAATAGCCTGGGGGATAAAGTTATTTCCCAATCTGGCTGTTCTACATCAGATACAGCGGAACCTCTTCCCAGAAGGTAACAAAGAAAACAGGCCATGATGAGGATGGGAGGCGTCATTGACGATCTTTCGAGCTCTAGACAAACAGTGCACGATCTTGGATGAGAGGCAGCGAGATCCCAATGATCTTCTCTGCTGCCCTTACTACCCTCTGCACAGACTTCTTGTCTGAGGTACTACAGCCTCCATTCCAGATGGGAATACAGTTAGTGAGTACACTTGCTATAGTACCTCTACAGAAAGTAAGGAGAATGGAGGATGAGAGATGTACTTTCCTCATCTGGCGCAAAAATGCAAATGTTGCTGCGCTCATTTCACCAAAAATGAGGTGTTAAGGGACCAGGTCAGACTATTCGTTAACTGCACCCCTAAGAATCTAATGCTACTGACTCCACAGCTATGTTATTAATAAAAAGTGGAGTGTGACTACACTGGTTCCCCCTGAAATCTATGATAATCTTAGTTTTTTCCACATTTAGCACCAAACTGTTTTTATTACACCACTCCACCAGACCCTTCACCTCTTCCCTATAAGCCCACTTATTGTCATCCCTGATAAGACCCACCACCGTTGTATCATCCGTATATTTCACAACGGAATTGATGGTAAACCTAGCACGACAGTCATGGGTCATCAGGGTGAACAACAAAAGACCATGCCGACTTACAATGGCAGTCCCAGTTGCCATTGTTAAGTAAATCCTGTACAATTACAGCATCCCACAGTCATGTGATTGCCATTTGCGACCTCCTGCTGGCTTCCCCTATGAGAATGAAGTCTTCCCCCTGCCATGCAGCCTTCCCCACCACAAAGCAAAAGGTGAGAAACTACAGTTAGAATAGGCCCAATAAATAGATTAAAACACAGGAAGAGATGCCAAGCTAATAACATTCCTTCCTGGCTGAGGTTTAACAGATCACTTTGATCAAATAAGGAGGGATCCTTTCCCTGAGGAGATTATCATTTCAATCAACAAATACTACACAAGCAGAAAACTGCAACTCAGCAGGGTGCCTAACTACAGAGGGCTCCTTCTTGGAATGCCAGCTAAGTGCATTTTCTTGGAATTCCTGAAGGGCATGCTTTTGAGGAACAATAGCAAGGTTTCTCTATATAAAGGGCTTAAAGAGGAGGGCTCACTGGGGCTGCCCCAACAGCTGATTCTATACATTTCACTTTCAGAAATAAATTTCACCTCTGATCCAAGCAACTGTCTAAGCATTTTATTCCTGGCTTGGAAATGAACCTGGTAAGATTTCTTTCTAACAATTCATTGACTTTACTTGTTGAAAGCCAGTAGTGAAGGTCGCAAATGGCAATCATGTGACCATGGGATACTGTGACTGTCATAATTGTGAGCCAGTTGCTAAGCACCCAAATTGTGATCACATGACCATGGGACGCTGTGTTAGCCGCAATTATGAGGAATGGTTGCAAGTCCCTCTTATTCAGCACCACTGTAACTTTGAACGGTCGCTGAACGAATGGTCATTCAACAAGGTCTACCTGTAATACATATCACATCTAAAACAAATTCCCCTTGAATCTAATAGGCTTAGAGCTTAAACTTACCTGACACTCTCCCTGTTCAAGAGCTGGGCAGAAATCATTTCTTCACTATAGACTCTCTCCAAGTCTAGAAAACTCAATAACTCTTTTCTTTCCATTCTTACACCAACCTACCTTCTATATATTCATATTCCTCTATCCGACTTAATTTAGATACAGAAGAGAGCAATGGGTCAACACAGAGATGCCTGCAAAAATGTATACTCCACTGAATTTTATTTATTACATATTTATACCAACCTTCCTTCAAGGAGCTTAGGCACTATATAAAGGCTACCCCAGCTTTTGCTTTTTCTTCACAACAGTCCTATGAAATCTAGTAAGCATTGTGACTGTGCAGGGCCTTGAAGCCAGCTCTCTTTGATTCTAATTAAACATTTCAATCCAATTTTTTCTCAATCTGGGAATAAATGCTGGCACGGAAATCTGGGACATACAGTCTTAGTGCATCTAGAGGGCATCAGGTTTAGAAAAAATATCCTAACCACTGCAGCATCCTAACTGGGTATGGCTTTCATGTATACCACAGAACTTGGCCCAAAGAGAATGAATTACAAAACAACAGAGCGCTAGCTAAATTTGTTTTCTACAGTGAGCAATAAATATACCCATTTAAATAAGGTAAAACACCATATGGCTAACAATTTTTACAAGAAAAAAAAACCCCTCAAATATATATAGTATTAAGATTACATTCATAAGAATCAGAACTATTTTTATGGCTAAAATTATAAGCTGATATTTCTTTGCATTTAAGATATTAGATTTGGTGATGGAGTTTTGCTTGATACAAAAGGCTCAAAGCTCAAACGTTCTTACAAAGCACAGTCACCTGCTAATGCTATGCAAACAAATTGTTACTGACTTAATCTTTAACTTTTTCCAAACAAACCTACTCCCCCATCCCCATACACATGCACACACATTTAAAAAAAAAAAGATGTTTGGAGGGAGATGTTATTATCTGCGGACAGCTTTGGAGGTTCTTAGACTTTATTTATTATTGCATTTCTGGGAAGGAAAGTATGTTTACCTATGTCAAATATCAGAGTTTTTTACTTCTGCCAATTATATTATTGATCAGTGCTTTCCTTCTCTTTTCTTGTGAGGTTTTAGAACATTAAAGTTTATATCATATGTGAAGAAAGCATTCACTTTTTAGAAAGTCAAAACTACTATAACAGAATGACAGAACAGAAAATATGTCTACTAACCTAAATGAAATCTGAATACTAACCAAATCAATGGAATGTCAGCAAAGGTCCAGTAAACCAAATTCATTCAGAATTGTTTAATTACTAGACTTCTTATGTCTTTGATTCCACATGTACCACTTATACTGAAACTTTTGTTAAAACTTATTTCTCCTTCTCTTTCAGCAAACTACTTCAACCACTTTTTTGTGGTTTTTGCGGGTGAGGGAGGGAGGGTGTTATGATGCAGAGATCACGCACCTTACAAAAACAAACCTAAAACATAGACACACCTTATACAACATTTACGCATTACTGAAAGACAGAACTTGGCTGTATCTAATTGCCCGCCTTT